CTTAAAGAGGTCCTAAAAGAAAAAATCTCTTCTTTTTTTTGAATTTTTAGTACTAAAAACAAATTTCCTTAAAATTTCTAGATACTAATTTCCTAACATAAAACTACCTCAAACTTTCTCTTCTCTTTTTTTTTCTCTTGATTTCTAGGAGTAGTATTTCTAAAGAATGTTCTAACGGAAATATTAAAATACAAAATATCTTTTTTTTTATTTTTGAATTACACCACACCATTTCAAATATAAAATAAAAAGTACAATAGCAAATAACTTTACTGTACAAAACTAGAAAGTAAAAGACGACATTAAAAAAAAACAGACTCAAAACATCAAAAGAAAAATCTCCTTAAGCAACTCCTGAATGCAGTGATCCTGGGGTATCTGTCATGCTCAAACTCCGGTAGGTAAACCCACACCTGTATGAGAAAACTTAAACCAACACTACGTGAGACAATAACATTCCCTATTAGATACATACAAAACATGATTGCGATTATTTTTGCAAAATGACTTATTGGCCAAAAAGATGGCTAGAAGTGCAAAATTTGACTAAGACCCCGCAAAGCCAAGAACCTAACATTTACTAGGAAGACCGGACCCTATGTGGGTTGCCTACGTATCACGCTCCGAAAGACGAGAATCAGGTATGCGTAGTTCCGGCAGATTGGATACGACGAAAATTACAAAAACTACTAACTTAGAGAAAACATATTTTTTGTCATTTCCTTGAAAATGATGAAACATGCAAGCTCTTTTTTTTTTTTTTGATTTTTGAAAAATGATAAAAGTGCAAAATCTTTTTGAAATTTCCAAAATCTCTCTTTTCTTAAATAAAAAAAAGTAACAAAAACACAACTAGGCTCCACTTGCTTTATTTCCACACTTCATCCTCCTTTTTTTCCCTTTTTTTTTTCCTTTTTGTTTCTTTCCCTCTTTTTTCCATTTTTCAATTTTTCCTTTTTTTTTCATTTACCCTCAGCTATCATTGGTCCGCCAAATGACCCTTTTCCCCTTGAATAAATGCAACATGTAGCACATAAGATGCATCAGGATGGTCTGTTATTTTGGGTATACCTGTCCTAGACGGACCCAACCCCTGTGTTGAGTCCCCTAAGTCAAAATGCACATGATGCAGATAAGTGTTCCTACTAGGGATCCGGCATGAGGCTGAGTTATTCTAGGTTCAAAACCTGGGTATATGTTCTAGACTGTGTACCCGAGCGGACAACTCGAGTCGAGGAGGGGGCTACGTACCGGGGACCCGCAAGATCGTCCGGCTTAGTAACTTGTCCGGGCCTTTTTCTTATTTCAGGGTATGACACTAACAGAATAGGGAGTCTCAACCAGTAAGCACATCCCCGGAGGTGAGAAGAGAAGGGTTTCGGCACAGTTTATATACAGTTCAGATAATATCAAAGCGGTAAAGCATTTAGCACATTTAGCAGGAAACATGTAGGAAAATCAGATAAAGCCAAACATAACAATTATTCTCAGCTCGAATTCTNTGTTAATTTAGGTCATGCTCTATGTGAATTCCTGATTTATATGGTTTTTACCCTATGTGTGCTTGTTAGAGTTGCTGATTTTCGTCTATTATGAGTTTAATCTGTTTATTCTCATGAGCTTATGCTAATTTCTCCTAAATTGGTATTGTTCTCTATTTGTGGGTCTTCGAATCCCTGTGATCGGTTCTTCATCGATCTTGCATGATATTTTCTATTGATTCTTAAGATATCCCTTTAATTAAGGCTGGTTTCCTATTTATCCTTGCCTATAGCATGTTACTCCGCTCATGTGTGATATTTTCCTTTGATAAATATTGATTCCCTGTAATTAGAACCTCACTCGAGGATCTCCTTACTGATTTCCAGAATTTGAAATATCTCTTGCCTTATTTCTCTGGCTGATTCCGCTATCAAACTAATTTGTATATATTTTCCTTAAATAGGATTCTGAACTTGAACTTAATTGCATGCTCTATACCTATATTGCACTTCTACTACTTCCTTATTGTGTTATAAGCAGCTTTACTTGATTCCTTTCCTTATTTTGCCACTACTTCTTACCGTTTGAGTATGATTCCTTAATTAAAGGAAGTCTGTATACTAAATTGATTCTAATTAACGTTTATTTCTATAATTACTGATGAACTATTATTTTTACCTTATTCTTCCGCCTGCTTTCAAACTATATATACTCTATTCATTCATTACCATAAAATACGGATGTCACACCTCCTTTTTCGCTACTACCCCCGGTAAAGAGAGGTATAATAAGGAGTTTTTCGAATTAAAGGACAATCGAATCCGGATTTATTTAAAGAGTTCAGAGTCGCCACTTGGGAGATTTATGGTGTCCCAAGTCACCAGTTTTAAATCCCGAATCGAGGAAAGGGTTGACTCTGTTTAACAGTCCGCGAACCAGAAATCCGAGTAAGGAATTCTGTTAACCCGGGGGAAGGTGTTAGGCATTCCCAGGTTCCGTGGTTCTAGCACGGTCGCTCAACTGTCATATTCGGCTTAATACTTGATTTTAGTACATGTTCAACCTATGGTGCAATTTTAACTTTTACCGCTTTATTCATTTTTTAAGGAAGATTGCAACGTCATTTAAAATATGTTTCGAACCATGTCACATAAATGCACCTGCAGTTCATAACACATTTTATCTAACGTTGAGATTTGGATTTGGGTCACATAAATGTGCACCCGAGTTTAGGAAGGTAAATTATTAATTTAACGTGCCTAAAGCAATTACGCACTTTCAAGTTTGCGAGGGCCATGGAAAATTCGCTAAATGGCGCGCCTCGATTTCTAAAGGATTAGAATTAATCTAGTGAGGGCCAACTAGATAACGTACATAAATGAGAAAGCAAAGCTAAGCGACTGGAGGAACAATTATAGTGTTTTAATTGGAGTATAGGAAATATTCAACCATGAGCTAAGGAATAGCAAATAAACACTATACAGGTTATCCACACACGATCCGTTTTACCTTGAATCACTGCCAACAAGTGTAACCAGAGAATGTTGTTCTACTATCATTTGACTTAACATGAACTAAAATTGGTGCATAATTCTTAAAGCATGGAAATTAATTCCCCTGAATGCATCTAAAGCCAAATACACAACAGTGATTCACAAATCTCAAACAATAGACAAACATGATTAAATCAAAGGCTAATATCATTCTTGTCACTACCATTGACACAATAAACAGAGCATCGTAAATAGGCTGAAATAGCATATGTATATGAAAGAATTGAAACTCAAACCTCAAACCGGAAACAAAGTACGACGATCTCAAATCGAACCTCGACGGAATCTCATAGAATCCCTGACCGGACTGCCTCGCCTCTCGGACAACAAACTCTGAGATGCTTAGAGTTCGAGCTTGCTGGAATTTTGACCGGCGAAGAAGAAGCAGTGGCGGAGAAGACGCTAACTATTCAGTCATCAGTTCAAACGACGCTAATCGAGATTAATGGCGACGAAGCATATACGAACCAAAACTAACAATCGACTGGCCAAGCAAACGAATCGGAAATTCAGAGCATCTGAGATTAAAGCTTCATTCAATTGAAATTTTCAGCAATTACACAGTCATAATTGAGTGCCAAACGACGAAATTTTGAACTCGAACCGGACTCGCAACCTCGAATCGGATGGAACTTCAATCGGCACCGGAAAGCATCTTAAGCGTTAAGTCTGGTTTTGATGGGTGTGCTGAGAGACGAAGGAGGTGGTGAGGGCGAAAATCGGAGGGGTCGTTTGGACAGAATCAAGCTGGAAGTTCCGGGGAGGGGGTCGTTTTGTTGAAAAGTTGTGCTCCTCAGTATTTTTCCAGGCGTGATTTTATTGTCTTCTTTAGATGGTAGGCATTACTATATGTAGAGTCTAGGTTTAGTTTATTATTATGTGTATTTTGCCAATTAGTCCCTAGGTCTTTTATGTTAAGTCCTTAGGGTCTTTTATTTTTTTTTGTCCCAAAGAATAGTTTAGAAGGATCCCTAGGCTTAATGGACTAATCCGAATTGGGCCAAGGGTTGGGCTCTAAAACTCTTAAAATTGTAATCCATCACCTTAATTGACTCCTTTTAAAATAGGGTAAAAATACTACACAATGCCAAAGCTAATCCTAATAAATTAAACAAAACATGAAACTATTTTTTTGTGTTTTCGATAGTATATAAAGATAAAAATAAGGTACTATTTTTGCGTTTTTTTTAAATTTATGAAAAATACATAAACTAAAATATTTTTTTTGTAGTTTTCATTTTTCTTGTAATAAAATAAAGCAAAAGAGTCAAAATTAATTGAAATAACGCTATTAGGCCTAAATTATATATTTACATGCTAAAATATGAAAAATCTTGGGGAGGGTTAAAAATCACATGTCTACAGAGAGTACGAATGATTTGTTGAAGAAGTTGTTTCTTGACAATTAACAGCTCAAGACCAATTTCAGAAATCTTGAGAGGTAAATGGGCAATTAGCAGCAAATCAAAATACTAGGCCTGCAAGCGCTCTCCCCAGTGATATAGAGAAGAACCCTCAAGTTAATGTAGTTACACTCAGAAACGGGAGGGATCTAGGGGAAGTGCCAAATAAGAGAAAGGACAAGCCTATACCCGAGGGGGAGTTGATTCCTAAAGCAACACACGAGTCAAAGAAAGAAGAAGCAAGTTTAGAACCAGTGGAGACTGCAAGGCCACCACCACCTTTCCCCAGCGATTGCAGAAAAAGAATGATGATCTCATGTTCAACAAATTTCTCTCTATGTTGAGCTAGGTTCAATTGAATATTCCATTGGTGGATGTACTTTGTGAAATTCCAAAGTATGCTAAGTACATAATAGATATAGTGGCTCACAAGAGGAGATTGACTGAATTTGAGACAGTTGCACTTACTGAGGAGTGCACTTCAAGGGTCCAAAACAAGCTTCCTCAAAAGCTAAAAGATCCTGGCAGCTTCACCATCTCTGTGCGAATTGGTAATATTGATATGGGTCGTGCTCTTTGTGACTTGGGAGCAAGCATAAATCTGATGCCCCTATCCTTGTTCAAGCAATTGGGTCTGGGAGCTCCAAGACCAACTACTGTGATGTTGCAGCTGGCTGATAGGTCTATAGCATATCCTGAGGAAGTGATTGAAGATGTGTTTCTGCAAATTGGGAAATTCATCTTCCCTGCTGACTTCATTATCCTAGATTATGAGGCTGATGAACTGTTCCAATCATATTGGGACGACCTCTCTTAGCGACTGGTGATGCAATTATTAATGTGAGAGAGGGAAAACTAATTTTTAGGGTGGATGACGAGGAAGCAGTCTTTAATGTCTACAAAGAAATCCAACTTCCCCGCCACTATGAGGAGCTCTCGATGATATCTGTAGTGGAAGTGGAGGAGTAACTTCTTGACACGAGTGTATATCTAGATGATTCTCTAGAGAAAGCACTCATGTTGTTCGAATCCTTGGAGATTGATGATGTTGAGGAAATGATGCATATCCTTGATGCATCTTGTGCTTACATGCAGGGAATACACCCATTTGAACCCCTAAATAGGCCTCCTCCAAAGCCGTCTATAGAAGAAGCTCCAAAATTGGAGCTTAAACCCCTGCCTCCTCACCTCTAATATGCTCATTTGGGTGGTTCTGAAACTTTACCTGTTATTGTTTCTTCTAACTTGTCTAAATTCCAGGAAGAAAAGCTATTGAGAGTGCTACGTGAGCACATGCGAGCAATTGGGTGGACGATGTTTGACATTAAAGGCATTAGTCCAGCTTTCTGCATACATAAAATCCTCATGGAGTACGGACACAAGCCAAGTGTAGAGCAACAATGCCGCCCAATCATAAAAGAGGTGGTAAGAAAAGAAGTGATTAAGTGGCTTGATGCAAGTATTGTATTTCCAATTTCTGATAGCAAATGGGTAAGCCCCGTCGAATGTATTCCTAAGAAAGGGGGGATGACTGTATTGGTTAATTAAAATAATGACTTGATTCCCACAAGAATTTTCACTGGGTGGAGAATTTGCATAGATTATAGAAAATTGAACAATGCCACCCAAAAGGACCACTTTCCCCTCCCCTTTATTGACCAAATGCTTGATAGATTAGCTAGCCAAGAATACTATTGTTTCCTAGATGGTTATTTAGGGTATAATCAGATTGCGATAGCCCTAGAGGACCAAGAGAAAACTACATTTACGTGTCCCTATGGCACGTATGCGTTCAAGAGAATGCCCTTTGATCTCTGTAATGCACCTGCGACTTTTCAAAGGTGGATGATGGCTATTTTACTGACATGGTTGAGAGATTTGTAGAAGTGTTCTTGGATGACTTTTATGTGTTTGGGTGCTCTTTTAATAATTGTTTAATGAACCTTGATAAAGTGCTTACTAGGTGTGAAGAGACGAACCTGGTGTTGAACTGGGAAAAGTGCCATTTCATGGTACGTGAAGGTATAGTTTTGGGGCACAAGGTGTCCAAAAATGGTTTGCAAGTGGACAAAGCAAAGGTGGAGGCGATTGAAAAATTACCCCCACCGACATTTGTCAAAGGCATTCGCAGTTTCTAGGGCCATGCAGGTTTTTATCGTCATTTAATTAAAGACTTTTCAAAAATTTCATCTCCTTTGTGCAGGATTTTAGAGAAAGATGTCCCCTTCAAGTTTGATGATGCCTGTCTGAAAGCATTTAAGGAGTTGAAGGGAAGGTTAGTGACTGCACCAATTATCATTGCTCCGGATTGGGAGCAGCCATTTGAGTTGATGTGTGATGTGAGTAATATAGAAATTGGAGCTGTTTTGGGGAAAAGGAGAAATAAAATCTTTCACTCCATTTGCTATGCGAGTAAAACTCTGAATCCAGCCCAGATTAACTACACAGTTACTGAAAAGAGTTGCTTGCAGTGGTGTGGGCTTTTGACAAGTTCAGATCCTATCTAATAGGAACCAAAGTTATTGTCTACACAGATCATTCAGCTATCAGATACTTGTTTGAAAAGAAATACGCCAAGCCGAGGCTGATTCGTTGGGTCCTCCTCCTGCAAGAGTTTCACTTAGAGATCCGAGATCGAAAAGGGACAGAGAATCAAGTGGCCGATCACTTGTCCAGATTAGAAAATCGCAGCCATGTAGCTGAAGGAGGGTCATTCAAAGAAACATTTCCGGATGAGCAGTTATTAGCAATCACCTCAAGTGAACCCCCGTGGTATGCAGATTATGTGAATTTTATTGCAAGTGGGGTGACACCACCAGAATTGACACCCGATATAGAAGAAGGTTCCTACATGATGTGAGGCTCTACATGTGGGATGAGCCATTCCTATATAGGTTGTACACGGATCAGTTGGTACAGAGGTGTGTCCCTGAGGAAGAGATGAGTGCAATACTGCATGACTGTCATGCTTCACCATACGGAGGTCATCACGGTGGTGATAGAACCACCCAAAAAGTGCTACAATCAGGTTTTATTGGCCAAAATTGTTTAAGTATGCACATGCCTTTGTTCAAAAGTGTGACAGATGCCAAAGAACTGGAACAATCAGGAAGAAGCATGAGATGCCTTTGCAAAATATTCTGGCGGTAGAGCTTTTTGATATTTGGGGGATTGATTTCATGGGACCGTTCCCATATTCTAATGGTCACAGGTACATCTTGGTGGCGGTCAACTATGTGTCTAAATGGGTGGAGGTCATTGTTCTTCCTACTAATGACGCAAAGGTAGTGGTAAGCATTGAAAAGAAGCACATCTTCACACACTTTGGGACTCCAAGAGTGTTGATAAGTGACGGAGGAACTCACTTCTGTAATAAATTACTGAATAATGTTCTTGCAAAGTATAGAGTTAAGCACAAAGTTTCCACTGCCTATCACCCCAGACAAGTGGTCAAGTGGAAGTTTCAAACAGAGAGGTAAAGCAAATTCTAGAGAAAACATTAAGTGGAAATAGAAAGGATTGGGCCGGGAAGCTGAACGACGCATTATGGGCATATCGCACTGCATACAAGACCCCCATATGTACTTCTCCGTACAGGTTGGTTTATGGGAAGGGGTGCCACCTGCCCATTGAGCTTGAACACAAAGCATATTGGGCGATTAAAAAGCAAAATATTGAGATGGACTTAGCTGGTGAGAAGAGGTTGCTACAACTCAACGAGCTTGATGAGTTCCGGTTGCACGCGCATGAAAACGCCAAATTGTATAAAGAAAACACCAATAGGTGGCATGATAAGCACATCCAACATTGCGAGTTTGGCCAGGTCAAGAAGTTCTCTTGTTTAATTCGAGGCTAAAGCTTTTTCGGAAAGCCTAAATCTCGATGGTCAGGTCCTTTTGAAGTGGTTACTGTGAAACCTCATGGAGCGGTGGAATTGCGTGATACGAGTTCCAATGCGACATTCTTGGTAACTGGCCAGAGAGTAAAACACTATTGGGGTGGTGACATTGCACATCACAAGCCCTCGCTGGACTTGGATGAGGCGTGAAGAACGTGTTGTGTCGTGCTGCGATGTTAAATCAGGCGCTTTTTGGGAGGCAACCTAAGTATTTTCTTTTGTTTTCGTAGTTTGTTCATTTTTCCCGTTTACTTTGTATTTTTGATTTTTTTTCTAGGGGTTCCTTAAATTTGTATTTCATTATTTTTGTTGGAATTAGTCTTGTATGTATTTATTAGACAAAAAAAAATATATATGTTTAGGTGTGGGAAAACAGGGTGGATGCATCGCATCCCCCCTAAGAGCCCGAAAATTTGAGGCAAACTGCACAAGGCAGTGAACTCCAGCTATAGCGTCCACCTTAGCATCCCGGGTAAGTGTTACATTAAAACACTTGAAACACCTAAATCCCCTCCCTCACTCTTTTTCTCTCAACCCGTCGCCCCTAAATGCCTCCAACCTCGACGATAACAGGTACTTGTCCTTCTTCTTCCTCTTTTCTTCTCTCTCCTAATTCCCTTCTCTTCTCTCTCTCGCTGGTAGCAACAGAATCCCCACCCCATATTCCCCTAGATTAGGTTGCACCAAGTTGAATTCTACACATAACCTTAACATGGGACCTTGAACAATTTTAAGGTTTTTGCTTGTATTCACTGTTATCTGTGATGGTTTCGTGATGATAAACTAGAATTCTCTTCATCTCGTTAATTTTGGGAGGGCAATCGAATTAACTAATTGATAGAACAAACTAGGCATAACTGTTGCATACCACATGTTCGACGAATTGCCTGTGAGGTAAATTTAGGCGCCGACGAAGTCTGAGTAACCGAGCAACACTAGTATATGCTAGTGAATAAGTGTGGGGTCGTTTGATTGATTGTGTACAGCGTTTGAAAGTGTTGGAGTTATGGGTGCTCACCCCTCCTTCAACTCACGTTTTGAGGCGTATAATGACCATCGGCGTTCAAGTGACCAACGACCTGATTGAATTGAATGCAAATAAGTTGCTTAACTGCTTGTATTGTGATGTACATTGTCCAGCAGCTGCATTATGTGCACTTTGTGCGTATTTTTATGTCTTGAGAATAGTGTGGGGTCGAGTGCGTTATTTTATGTAATTGAACATGGTTTGTGAACATCAATAGAATCACTCTCCTGTGTGCATAATGATGTCTATAAAGTGCATTGCTCATTTGTGAATTTGAATGAAGTACCTGTTAATTTATCCGCGCTGAAAGCCATGGGCTGTATTTTCATGAAATACTGAATGGCATGACCATGCGAATGATTAGGCTTGCACGCCTTTACACAGTTGCATTATAGCTGAAACTTCACTGTTCTGTACACTAATTGTTGACTTCTTTGCATTGTAGGTACTTAGGTTCACAAAATGGCGGTAATAAGCAAAATGTCCAAGCAACAAGAAAGAGATGAGAACAAACAACCGCCTAAAAAGCCAACCGGAAAGGCAACAGGTGCTCCAAAGCCACAGAACAAAAAGGAAACAGACTGAGAAAGCAAAGGAACTGCCTACTAGGCAGTTAATTGATGAATCGGAGCAAGAAGAGGAGGAACCATTAGTAAGGAGGACTGTGAAGAGAGGTACTACAAAAACATCATCAAATTTGCTTAGCAAGGGGATAGAGATCGGAGAACCTGTGCCGCACCAGAGCAAATCCTCCAAGCAGAGTGACCCGAAAGATAAAGGGAAGCAGAAGGCTACTGCAGAATCTAAGTCCGAGTCTGATTCAGATGATGAGCTAAGACAAGTCGATATGAGTGATGAAGATGAGGGTGAACCAATAGACCGAGCTGATTGGGAGAAGAATTTTGTTAGTGAAAAGACATTCCGAGCTTATGATAAGATCCTGGGTTCAAAGAAGTATATTCTAGAAAAGCCAATCAATATTGGAACACTTAAGAAAAATTATCAAAATTTTCTGAAATCAATTTGAGAGGTGCAACAATGGGGACCTATCTTGTAGGGCCACGGCAAGGCCAACCTTACTATTATCAGAGAGCTTTACGCCAATTGGCGTAAGCTCTCTGACAATAGTAAGGTTGGCCTTCCCGTGGCCCTTCAACGATAGGTCCCCGATTGTTGCACCTCTCGAATTGATTTNATGTCTCCGCTGAAGCTCTGAACAATTTCTTAGGGGTGCCACACACACTAACGGACAGGTTTGACTCTATATGCAAGGCACCTAATTATTCACACATTAAGTTTGTCCTATGCCCAACCAAGAAAGATGCAAATCGGAAGCATGGGAGTGTGGAGTACCATTCTCTTGCCAAAGAACTCATGAGTGTGTTAGCACGTGTGGTTCTAAATTTCACATGCAACCGCCTGATGCCATGCCAACACAAAACTGATATCCCTCGATACCGGTCACTAGTGTTGTATGCTTTATTGGAGGGGATACCACTCAACTTGAAGGCCATCATGCACGACCAGATGTAGCGTACCAGGATAAACTAGAAGTGGAGGTTGTTCTTTGCAAATACCCTATTGGCTTACTTGACTGAGATGGGAGTACATTGACCACTCTTTGAGTCAATTTCTTTTTCCTCGGGGGAACTAGAGAGACGTAACGTCACTCTTTATGGTCATGACATTCATTTTTCTCCTTTTCTCTTTACTCCATGTCTTTCATCATGTTTTTTTGAATCCCTTCAACTTTTTTATCTAATTCACTTTCTTTTTGGCATTTTTTTGTCTTTCTTTCTTTNCGACCAACAACTAAACTAGTATACTCCCTCGACTACCGGTCACGTAGTGTTGTATGTCTTTATTGGAGGGGATACCACTCAACTTGAAGGCCATCATGCACGACCAGATGTAGCGTACCAGGATAAACTAGAAGTGGAGGTTGTTCTTTGCAAATACCCTATTGGCTTACTTGACTGAGATGGGAGTACTATGGGACAAGGAGAATGATGACATGGAGGCTAAAGATCCAGGACCATATGATGTTACTCATGTACTAGAGCCAAACAAGGGAAGGTCCTCTAAGCTCACCATTCAGCAGTTGTTTGAGCAGATGCAAGCTGATATGAAAGAGAACAAGGCTGAGTTGATAGCGACTCGTGCAGAGTTGAGTGCCACTAGAGCTGAGTTGATTCAGACTCATGCGGATCTAAGCCGAGTCCAGGCTGAGCAGGTCACGGTGATGAGGGAGGTATCATTACTCCTCCGTGCTTTGGTTCAAAATACAGATATAGATATCTCACAGTTGCTTGCATCATCCACTGCTGGACCATCTACCTCTGCTCCTCCTATAGTCCCTGAGGCTCCATCCTTCATGCCTACTGAGGCCGCTGTGTCGCATGCTACAGACTCAGCTCCAATTGGCGATGATAGGACTGTGACCAAGCTCCCTATTCGTGAGGATGCTATTGCTAGGCCAGAGGGGGCCATGATAGATGTCGTGGGTGCTTCGAGTACCCACTCGGATGTTGCTGCTACCTCCATCCCGGCTGCCCATACCACTGCTGCTACTGCTCTTTCACAGACCGCGGAGGAGCCCTCCACCTTGACTTGAGGGAGTTCTTTCTCACCCTACTCTACTTTATTTTTGTGCATTGGGGACAACGCACGGTTCTAAGTGTGGGGTGGGGGTTATTGATATTTTTTTATGTGGATGAGTGTATGTAACTATTATAATTTTTGTTGCTTTTGATACTGTTGGGGGCTGTAATATTCACTGAATTAATGGCCTGTAATAGTTAGTAATTAATCTATATATAGTAACTCTCAGTTTCTTATTGTGCTTAGTTGTAGTAAGTAGCCGTATAATAATTATTTATATAAAAAAAAGAAAATCAGAAAATAGGGGACTTTTACTGATGACAGACCACCTGGACAGCTCTCTCAAGGGATTAAGGTCCTTGAAAAAATACAAAAAGTTTTTCATTTGATTCTTGAAATTAGAGTTAGTATTATGAGATTGACAGAAAACTAAAGAAAAGCACAAAAAGATTTTATTAGTCTTGAGTAGTTAGTAAATTTAATCTATTAGGCAATAATCACCCTTGGTTTTTCTTTGGTCATCGGTTCTTTTCCAAGGGATGAATTCTTGAACCGGGTACTAGTTTTTCTTTTTTGAGTAGTGTAGGATATAAAGACTCAAACTAAATTCAGCATATTCTGTGACTTGTTTGATACTAACAGAGTTAGACCTGAGCATGTGGATTATAACTTTCGCCATGAGTTTGTGAGAACTAGTTTTCCCTTTAAAAGTTGAATAGCTTTTTTTGTGACGCTTAGGGTCATTGTCTTGACTCCTGTGCTAACTGCTGTGCTGTGTGCATTAAAAATTGGGGCTTAACTTAGTACTTGTTTTGATTGAAAGTTGAAATGTAGTCATCCTAAGTGAATCATGTGCCAATGTGTGGTGAGATTTTTGTATAAGTCTCGTGTAGTACATTTGTGTCCAGAACTTGCCCGGTATGTGAGTTGAAGCGAAATCCTAGGTTTTGCTCAGTTTGAAATATGATTTTGGGCCTTCTTTGATCCTTCTGAACTATAATGCTACCACAATCAAAATCATTCCTAGTAAGCCATTTTGAGCCTGTAGACCTTTTTATTAAGCACCCACATTACAAGCCTATACTCCTTTTTTCTTAATTGGGACTTTTGATCCTTTTACCTCTTAAAGCACTTTAATTGTGAAATGAGCGCTAAAAGGAAGTAAATAGGGGATTTGGGTGGCTTTTGAGTGGAACCAATGAAAAGAAGAAGGGTACACTTATTCTGTTAAATAATACACCACTAGTGAGAAGCGTTGAAAGAAAGAAAAAAATCTGGAAAACAAAGAAGAAAGAAAAAAAGAGAGAATAAATTGACATATTGTTCTTGCTAGTGGGGTATAAATTAAAGTAGTGCTCAAAAAGAAAAAAGGGAACTTTGTTGGGAGTGACTTTAGTTGTAAAATGGAAGTTGGGATTGAAGAATTTTGCGTTTAAAGTTGATAATGTGACGTGTTAAAGTGCTTAGGAGGGTGAACCACTATTCCTAAATATATCCTACCCGTCCCTTAGCCCACATTACA